CAGCTAATCACAAACCCAGAGCATCAAAGCAGTGGAGGCCAAGGCAGGCCCTCTGGGTTTTCCGGGGCACCACTCTAGGTTTCAAAGGTTTCCTTGTTCTGTGTTTCTTATCTAGCAGGGCCCACGGCATACGCCGAACTGTAACAGGGCTTGACTTCTGCCATGGACAGAGCCCAGTGCCTTTCTGTTCACCTTACCTGTAGCTCCTCTTCTGTTGAGTTCTTGCAGCAACATCAATAAACATGGACTAAAACGCCCACTGAGTGCCGGGACTGAAGGCCCAGGTAGTGTGGTTCCTGCCTTCAAGGAAGGGATTGTCCAGAGGTGGTTACCGGACTCTGCAACCCCTGGCTCCCCAGAATTTTGAAGCAAGCACACGGTCTACACTAGAGCTTCCCTTCATCCCCAGCCCCCAGAAGTCCTTGTCCCTGGCTGTGTCTTGGCTTGCTTTCTCACCATAGAGTCCCACATTTTCACCTAGTAAATATCTTCGTTTATGGCATAAACTGCTTATGTTAACCCTAGCAGTGTTCATGCTAGATCCACTTTCATGCCATATATGTGGGATTGAATCATCTTTAATAATAAAATAATTTACACATTGTTCCTCAAGGCTGGCAATTGCTGTCATCTTCAACTGTGAGATACAGGGTGATACGATATTATTTCCTTGCCAGAGGTCGAAAGTCATAACAAAAATCAGATTTAACAACTTCTCTGCCCCTCCTCCCTGTTGGTGGGGGTGTGGTATTTAGCATAAGGTCAAAAAGACCTGGGTTCAAACCCTGCTTCTGCTATTTAGCTGTGTGACCTTGGCCACATTACTAAACCTTTCTGAGCCTGTGTTCTCATCCGGAAAAGAAGAGCAATATATTATCTGCCTTATCCTCAAAGGATATGTTCTAACACCCCCAGTGGGTGTCTGAACCTTGGACAGTACTGAACCCCATATATACTATGTTTTTTTTTTCATACATACATACCTGTGATAACGTATAATTTGTAAAGTAGGCACAGTAAGAGATTAACAATAGAACAATTATAACAATGTAATAAAAATTATATGGATATGGTCTCTTTCTCTCTCTTAAAATGTCCCGTATTCACCTAGTTTCAGACCATGGTTGACTATGGGTAACTGAAACCCTGGAAAGAAAAACCACGGATAAGAGGGGACCACTGTACTGTCTCTCTCAAAGAATAGTTAACGAATATTACATGACAGAACCAGTATTAAGTACCTAGGAAAAAAACAAAAGCAACATTGAAACCTCAACCTTTGATTGTGGCTACTCTGGGCCAGGCACTGTTCTGAGTACATAATCTTTTTTGACTCCTTTAATCCTCAGGGAAATAATATTATCCCCATTTTACAAAGGATAAACTGAGGTAAAGGCGAGGTAACTTGCCCAAAGTCACAAGGTGGTAAGCGCCAGAACGAGGACATGTGCCCAGGCAGCCTGACTCAGAGGCTTCAGAAGTTCAAAATTGGTTTTTTTTTTTTTCCCATCCCCTTAACTCAAAGACCTGCTGACTTTCATCTAGGATTAGCCACTCATGCCTGCACATATTGTGCTGTTAAACTGCACATGAATGTTTAGGTTTTTCTTATTGTACAACTTTGGGTAAGTTATATAACTGGTCTGTCCTCAGTCTCTACACCAGCAAAGTGGGGATACGAACGGTTCTTTCATAAGATGATTGCTAGAGACAAATAAGATAATCAAAAGGCTGAGAAGAGTGCTTGACACATAGGACAGGCTCCACTTAGGAAGTGCTTTTAACATCCAAAGTAATGAACAATGCAATATATTAGGAAAATTCTTGGTCTTCTGTGGCTTGGTAAGGCACACAAGATTTTGTGGCTGGCTGAATCCAGTACTTTCAAATGGCTATCCTTGTTCTCTAGCAAACATACTGCATTTAAAAATAGATTGCTCATTCAATCAATAAAAAGAAAAACAGGTTCACCGGATTCTGGTTAGTAAGAAATGAGACTGGATATGGATATACTGAAATGAGGCCTAGATAAAATCAGACTGAAAGCAAGAATCTTAATAATAATAATAATACAATCAGAGCAGTCTTCTTGGAGGTTTTTAGGTTATAAATTGTATTCCACCCACTGGATAAATGTTACAGTTAATGGGCAACGAATTTGTGAAAAATCTATGGCCTGGTTAAAAAAAAGAAAAAATCTTTGGGTGATACAGGTTAAAGCAATTTTATCCCCAACACCGTTGAATACCAGGAATTTTATACGTAAAAAAGCACAGCTTTTGTGAGCATGTTGGACATAAAACAAAACACCACATTAAAGGAAAGGCTGGAGGGCAGACAGGGCAAATGAACTCACGTGAGCCCTTCTGCAATCATTGTTACGGCTTTGTATTACTCATCTTGCACCACACTTAAATGTACAATAAAAAGCAAAAAGTGTGCAACACGCATTACTCTAGCTGCTTTTACTTGTTCCATAGAGATATGCGAAACAATTTCACTGCTCAGATTGAGGGAAAGAGGAGCTCATCTTATTTCAAGCCTGTAGCTGCTGCCACAGCCTCAGCACCACGTTCTAATCATAGACTTCATCATGTAAATCTCTAGCAGATGATACCACTGGAAAACAGAAACTGCCATGGATCCAGAAATGCTTCCAAATTTCTCCTCTAAAGTTCTTATCTGTGAACTCAGAGGCTGACGCTGTCTTATTCAATGGGTGAGGCCCACTGGGAAACCCACATTATTTGGGAGACTATGAAGAACTTTCCACCATTCCTTGACTATATAAAAGGCCTTTATCACGTATTTCATGATACATGAAAATGCTAAATATTTCACAACTACTCCAACTTATTTCTGAGGGTCTAAATCTATTCTGAAAAGGGTATGCATCACACACCTACCTGTGTAGCTTATTAACTACCAATAAGAACTCACACAAATTGCAGGGGGTATGAAATAATAGACTTCTGGAACTGTCCAGAAAAGAAGAGAAGGTACATTTTTCCCGGTTTTAAGATGAAAGCTCTTGTGTAAGTTAGAACATTACAGGAGTCGTTTAAATTCTCTTAGGTATACCTTTGGGGCATCATCCCTGGTTCCTGGCGAGTCTTTTTTCTCCCTGTGATGTTAAGAGGAAGTCCCTAAGACTGGCTTTGCTATTAAAATACAGACATCTGCTGCTCTCCTAATTTTTGTTCTTTTTAAATGGGAGTACTCCCCAGAAACTCTTGGATATTGTGGGAACTAAGATCTGGGAGATGGGAACGGAATCTTTGTCTCCCTAACACATTCATCAGTTCCCTCCCTAGAGCCCCCCATACCCTCAGCACACACCAGCAGCCCACTCCTCCAAAGACGCCAGGGCTGGAAAGATTCATGTTGCAATACCCTCCTGACATTCCTCATTTTAATTCGCTCACTTTTTTTTTTTTTTTTTTTTAAACAAAATGTAATTACTTGACTGTCAGCCTGCGCTGCACTCTGGGGCTTTTACTCCTTTCAACACAGCTGCGCTCCCGGCTTTGATGCTGCTGTCCACGCAGCTTGTCCCAGCCACAGCCTGGCTCTCGGTAATGTAACATTCAAGTGCATATTTATTTTTAAACTGACCTCTCCTAGACTGCACAGTATAAAGGAGATCCTGCCAAAAAATATGCTACTTTCTATTTATAAGATGAAACACATGCCTCCCAAAGTCGGAGGGGGATAGAGTATAATAATTCATAACGAAAAAACGATTGGCCAGATCCACTCGTCCTCACGTCTGATACTTGTCTGTGTCAAGCCACTTGGTTTCAAGGAGAAAGGGAGGAAAACTACAATCAAAAAACCTTGTAAACGTTTCAGCTGTTCACCGTCAAAAAACAAAAAAGTCAATATCCAGATTTCCAGGTTGGCGCCCCACTAACAATGTCCTCCATTAAGAAAGAGGGCACCGGGCAGGCGATGCCACGGCAGAGCTGTGCGATGCACCCATGTGCGGCCCTGGTACCAATTCACGACGCGAGGGGCGCGGTAGCCAAGTGCGGCTTGTTCTCAGATGGAAAAATGCTATACGCGCCCAGAATGGCTCTGTCAATAGCTCGGAGGGAGCAATGGGGCCGCGCTGCCCCACCCTGAAAAGCGGTGGGCACAAATGGTGGAGCTCTGAGTCCCGGTCATGCCGCCCGCCCCACTCCTGGCTTGCTTTATGTCCCCTTCGGTCCGTTGGACACTAGATGTGAAAGCGATGCCCTCGGTATCCCGGCTCCCTGCTGGTTTCCCAGCCTAACACCAGCGCACGCCGGAAGCGGCCACGGCGCGGGCGGGACAGACTCACAGACAGGTAGAGAGGAAGGAACCCTGGATTACCCAGACTCACCGGCCGCCGCTGAGAATCCCAGCCGCTGCCCCGGGCCTCCCGCGGGCGCACGCAGCCCCGGCCGGTGTGCGCAGATCCAGCCGAGTCTGCCGGCGCGGTGCCTGCTCACCGCATTATCCGCTCCGAGACAGCGTGAAGGCGCCCCAGGCCGGTGGCCGGGTCTCCGGGCTAACCCCGCACTGCGGACCCTCGGCCGCAAGAGAAGGTGCGCGCAACTGAGAGCTGGGCGGCAGGACGCGAGGACTGAACCTGCGGAGGGCGGGGCGGCGCGGGGCGGGGCCGGCGGCGCGGGGACGGACTGGGGCGGGGCGGAGGGCACGGGCCCCGGGGCCGACCCTCCCGGCCGCTGTACCTGTGCCCTGGCCCGGGGCCAACCGGCAGCCGGGCGCGCGCGCAGGGGGGGTCACCGTTGGACCCTCGGAGGACAACGGGCGCCCATTGTTACCTCTCCAGCGCTACCCCCCAGTAGGCGACTTCCCTCGGAGAAGACGCCGCTTTCGACTCCCTAAACACAAAGAAAGGTCGTCGGACGCTCGTTTTAAAGAGGGACCCGGAGGTGCTGCCGCCCGGGTGCACGGGGACAATAGGACTCCGCCCGCACCCCGGACTCCCGCACTAAACCTCGTGCGCCCACCTCTCCCGATCCCAACAGGCCGACCTAGCCGTGCGAAGTTCCGGTGTGGCGGGCGGTGACCGGCAGGGAAGCGAGGCCACCTGAGCGCGCCTCCCCGTTCAGGCCGCAGCTCCCCAGATCCCTCGCAGCCAGTGCTCTGGTGGGCGCGGAGGGGGAGGGTCGCGTTCTGTCAGTTTCCAGCTCGCTCCCCTTGGAGCTGCAGCCAAAACCCGGAGCGTGGACTTCGCGCCCTGGAGATGCCGGAGCTCCGGGCTGAGCAACTGGACAAGCGACGAACAGCAGACGCTACAGGTTCTTCTGTCCAGAGGGAGGCGTTTCCTCTCCCTCAGGGTCTTTCAAAAGGATTTGCCTAAAGCTGAAGCAAGCTGGTGGCGGCTGCCCCAGACGCGCGACGAGGCGCAAGTGGCGCAGCTGCCGGCCCGGGAGCGTAAAATTCCGCCCGTGGTGGCACCTGCGCCCGCCGGTCAGCGGGCCACAGCCAGCGCCGCCGACTGGCGCACCCCTCCCCTCCGCCGGGGCACTAGCGTGAACCGGGTTAATGAATGCTAATTTTCTTAATCGGCCTCCGTCTTTTCCTCCTCCGCGAGTCATCGGCCTGGGGAAGGAGTAGGCGACAGGAAAGGGCGGTTTTTTCCGGCTGGGAGGTCCCAGCCCGCATGATTAGCCTGGGGAGGGGGCTGGGACCCCGGGGAGTCGGATGCTCGGGGCCTGGTCTCTGCCCTGAGACTCTCAGGTTGGATGGAAATCCCGGCACAACGCGGAGAACTTTCCGGGCACCTTGGCTTTGCCGAGAGGTCCCTAGCTTCAGTCATCACCGCGGTCCTCTAGGTCTGTCTGAAACCCTAGAGGGTGCACCTTAAGCCGATGTTGTAAACCCAGGCTGACTTTAAGGTGAAGTGAAAAGGAAACGGACACAATCTGGAAAGCAAAATACTTGGGTGGGGTGTTAAAAGCTTCAAAGAAAAATAATAGTTGGCAGGTCAAATGGCCATGAGGTTGGAAGTCAAATAAGAAACTCGGCTGAAGTGATGTTAGAAGTTTGACAAGCAAAACAGTCCATGAAGATAAGAGACCCAGCATTGTTTCCCTTCTTCAAAAGACAACTCGTCCAAAGTTTCCTTTGGCAGATACCTGGATTCTACTCCAGATTCCTGAGCATTTTACTTGGGTTTCATATTTCAAATTATATGTTCCATTTGGCACTAATGTATATATTTTATATATTAATTTATTGAAAAATATTAAATGTTGCTGGCCTACTTAGAAAAAGGTATTTTTATAAATATTTATGCATAGTTTTCATTACATATGGTATTTTATAAGCCCAAATAATATGTGTGTATTATATGTATAAAATACCACATGAAAAATTCCCTTTGAACACATAAAGACATTCCTGACACACATGTCTTGTATGTAATTTTTTTAATGTGATCTATTGTTAGCTGCTGTTAAAAGTACTTTATTTCTACATGGCCAAATAAGTTCTTTACAGTTTGTGCAAATATAGAGTGGCAGGTTGTCTGAAGTGGCAGTTTTATTCTAAAACCTATTTTTACTTTTCTGCATTATTCCTTGCCTTTTAGAGGCTTTCTCTCCCTCTGCCGTTTTTAAATGAGACTTCACTGCTGGACTCTGAACAGTTATCCAGGACCTGCTCATTCAAGGGCCTGGTGGTTTGATTTATCTTGGTTCCGTTGCTGCCTTCCCTCCCCACCCTTCCCCTCCCCTCCTCACCCTTCCCCTCCCCTCCCCTTCCACCCCTGCCTCCCCTCTGTTCCCCTCCCCTCCCCTTCCTTTCCTTTCCTTTTTTTTTTTTTTTTTCCAGGGTCTCAAACTCCTGGCCTTAAGTGATCTTTCTGCCTCAGCCTCCGAAAGTGCTGGGATTACAGGCATGAGCCACCACACCCTGTGCCTTATGTTATTTCTTTGTATTGAACATTTTTAGTGAGTAAATGATGCCCTCATAGAGTGAATTATTATTCTAAATGAGTGCGTTTCCCGTGCTAACTATAATAGCTTGTAGAGTTGATGGATTTAAGTTTCAATATGTTATGGGACTCTACTACTGGAAGAGAGGAAAAACTTCGCTTCAGAAAGATTTTAGGCGTTTTGAGATTCTGCTGTGAATTTTGGAAAGGTTTAGCCTTAAACATTTGGTAGTAACCTTAGAAGCCTAGTTGAGACTGCTATCTGTAGAACACCTGTGAGGCCCAACAGTGGACTGTTTTTCTATTAGCCCCTACTTGGGAGAAAAGCCAAGTAGTATTGGCGGTGCCCTTGCTGTCCAGAAACCTGTGATCTACCTAAGTGCAGAGAGCAGCTTGCCCGTGTACACAAGCAAATGCTGACCACATTCTAGTCTCTTGCTACCACGTGCGGTCCCAGGACCAGCAGCACCAAGCCTCACTCCAGGGCTACCGAATTGGAATCTTCAGCCTAATGAAATGTGGATAGTTTGCATGCAGATTTAATGTTTGAGAAGCACCTTCCATGAATGCTTGGTGGTTCTCCACCTTTTAAAGCTACAAACTCATTTGAAAATCTCATGGGATTTATGAACACCCTTGGAAAAACATATTGAATGATACACTAAATTTTTCATATGCAGTTTCAGCGTTCCTGTAAATAATCTATCGATGCCGGGGAAGTCCTGGGTTAAGACCCCCTAGTCACAAAGAAGTCACAAAGAAGATTGACTCAGCGTCAGCTGGAGGAGTTAAGAGAAGATTCTCACAGGGGGCAGAGCTTAAATTAAACTTGGGGGAATTTGATAGGAAGAGGAGTAAAGAAGAGTATTTCAAGCTGTTGAAATGCAAAGGTAAATGGTCCTGAGAGGGAAAACAGAGAATGTCCATTTTTGTATGTGTTCATGTGAAACCTAATGAGGAGATTGTTGTTTGATAGCAGGCTTTCCTTGCAATTCCTTATCATCACTTGAACATCCAGAAAATGAAGCCAGACTGTGGACTCAGTAGTCATTCCACTTTGGGTGTGCAGGAACCCTATGACGTGGGGGTTTCACGTAAGGTCTCATTTCCTACTCTTTTGCTCGCCTCTCACTCTGCTCCAGCCACACTGGCCTTCAGGCTGTTCCAGGCACTCCCGACAACAGAGCCTGGCCCAGTCTGTCTGCGTGGGGCAGTTCTTCCCCAAATCAGCAGAAGGCTCAGTAAGATCTTTATTCAAATAAGACTTCAGGGGAGAGGCTTTCTTTCTAAAATAGCGGTCCCTCCCACATTCCCTTTCCCTAAATACAACAGGAAGAACAATTGCTTCACTACTTGGCATTGTATTTATTTATAAATTCATTTATGGCCTGCTTCCTTAAATATATGAACTTTATTTGCTGCTGTATCTCCTATGCCTAGAATAGGGCCTGGCATACAGTAGGTACTCAATAAGTGTTTATTGAATAAATGATCTTTTAACTACCACCAGTAATGAGCGTAAAAGCCATGTTTACAAACTCTATAGCTACAGAAATCATAATATATGAAACATTCTTGGAATATACCGCATGTTTGCTGAGACTGAATTTTCAACCACTTCTCTTTAGTCTAATGAAACAAGAAATACTAAACACATGGAACATTTTAAGTTTGAAAATTCAAACATTTTAAAGTAAGGCTTACAAAAAATGTCTGTAGAGTCCATGTATAATGCATAACTATTTTTCTTCTGGCAAAGCTGAAGCACACTCGTGTGTACTCAGCTGGGGTTTTCCTCCAAAATGCCACATCCAGACTGAATTCGTGTGTGTATGGTCTCGATTATCGCCCTAAGTTAGATTTAAGGAAAATGTAGGAGAAGCTGGAAGGTTAGAACATTTTGAATGAGAATTTCCTTAAAACTTGAGTATTACCCTCCTTGCTAGCCAATTAAAATTTCACCAGTCCTGGAAATATGTCAACCTGTGCTAATGAACTTGATTGACTAATTGCCAAGGCTAAGGAATTTTCTAACCAGTGATTTCCTTGTAAAGAAAGAAATTTAGGTCACATCTTGGTTGGGAGATTTCAGCTTTGCCCAATCAAATGCAGCAGGAAATGGTATACTATGAGATATACTACGAGAGGCTATGTCTGCATGGGGACTACGGGCCTAGGATACAGTTCTAAGCAGGTTACACAGTCACTCACCATAACCACTAAATACGTTGCTGGCATTTGTATTAGCTCTTGAACTTGGGCCAGCACCAATTTAATTTGTGCATAAGACCTTCAAATATAGATGCATACTTGATCCTGTTAGTGCAAACCAGTGACTCATAAAGAGCATTACTGTATATTTATATAGCCTTCTATACTTCCAAAAACACTTTTTCATTTCATCTTCATTTTAGGTCGTTTTGTTCTTGCTGGGTAGGTAAGGCTTTTATGGTTGATTTACACATTTCTTCTTTCCGGAAGGGATTTGAGGCAACGTAGAAGGCTTTTGTATAGAATGAGTCATTCCTTTTTTTCCCAGCTTTACTGAAGTATAATTGATTGAGTCATGCCTATTGTACTCTTTGTTATGTGCTCTTTCCCCACATACCTGTATGTCTCCCTCCTTAGCTTTCTTCCCGTGTCTACTTAAATCTGAGCTCCTAGAGGACTGCCTTCCAAGACATCCTAGATAAAGTATCACCCATGGCCTTCTTTATCCCAGTACCCCCTTTATTCTTCTTCATAGCACTTAACACCTGACATTGTTGATTGTCTATTTATTTCTTTATTGCCTCCCCGCTCCCCATACCACTAGAATATAAACTCCATGAGGGGTAGACATATTGCCTATTTTATTCATAGCTGTATCCCAACCCCCTGATCAGTGCTTGGCACATAGTAGGGATTTAATAAATATTTGTTGAATGAATAAATGAATGAAGCCCCAGTGCTTAGGTCAAGCGCCTGGCATGTGATAAATATTTGTGGAATTAAACAAAGCTTTAATGAATGAGCTTGAGAAAGGCCTGTGATTCATTCAAGGTTATGCAGATAGTGATAACTTGCTTAATCTGGATGCGAATCCCCACTAATTCTTTCTCCAAGCCTTCTTCATTTGTATACCTGGTAGTAAATCCAATCTATTGTAATGTCAAAATTTCTTTGTTCATCCTTTCTGGCACCTGACAAAAATTGAACATTATACAGCTTTGATAGTGATTACAGGATGAGCAAGAAAAAAATGATTATTTCCGTTAATGCTCTGAGTTAGTGAGAAACAATAAAAAAGAGAGAGGTTGGCCGGGCGCAGTGGCTCATGCCTGTAATCCCAGCATTTTTGGAGGCGGAAGCAGGTAGATCACGAGGTCAGGAGTTCAAGACCAGGCTGGCCAAGATGGTGCAACCCCGTCTCTCCTAAAAATACAAAAGAGTTAGCCAGGTTCAGTGGCAGGTGCCTATAATCCCAGCTACTCGGGACGCTGAGGCAGAGAATTGCTTGAACCCAGAAGGCAGAGGTTGCAGTGAGCCAAGATCATGCCGCTGCACTCCACCCTGGGTGACAGAGGGAGCCTTCATCTCAAAAAACAAAAACAAAAACAAGAGGTCTGCAATGATACGCCCCCTCTCACTTCTGCTTCCCTGCATGCATTCATGCACATGGATAGAAGAACACATACTCACATACCACCCCCAACACACACACAAAACACACACCTACACCTACCAGTGTGCACCAAGGACAGATGATCTTTTGAGGGT